CAGCCATAGTGGCCATTTGAGGGGTGAACCAATGGAAGGAAGGCCTTTCTCTCTGTCTCTCTCTCTCTCACTAACTCTGCCTGTCAAAAAAAAATTTTTTTTTTCACAAGGAAACAAGGATATACTATATTGTCTCATGTTTTTTTTTTCAATGTTATTTTCTGCTTTTCTTTAAAAAGGGGAAAAGGATTGTGCATGCGTGGGTGCGTGCCGTGTGTGTGTGTGTGTGTGTGTGTAGTTTTTCCTGAGGTTTTTGCACCTTGTTTTTAGCTCCAAACAAATGGAGTTTTCCTTATTAGCTCAGAAGCAGGTGGAGTTCCCGTCACTCTTTGATTTTCCCATTCTGAGCTTTATCCGTGTGTCTCGCGCGCAGTGTGGAGGCCCTGAGTGCAGGGAGCAGTCGGCAGCAGCACACCTCCCGGCATGCATCAGACAGGCGTGTGTGCACCTGGGGCTCTGCGTGCCCCGCCCCCTCCCTGTGGCCCCTTCCTCAGGTCTGCATGCACTGTGTTCTTCCTCTGCTGGCGGGAGGGCCCCCTGGAGAGCTGGCCACACCAGCAGGCAGCTCAGGCTGGGTGTCGCTGCTTCCGGCCAGCCCTGTTTGCTGCACAAGGATATATGTTCAGGAAACTTAGCCAGAAAGAAATCCAGTGAAAATGAGCTCTGAAACTTGGACATCCTGGAGAAATAATATTTACAGAGGAAACTCCTGAGACGAACTCTCAGCAGAGCAGCAACCCTGGCTGTGGGCTGAGGTCACGTGTGGGGCAGGCCTCCAGCTCTGGTGTGCCTCGGTGAGGCCTGTCCACAGCCTCCATGAGCCCTCCCGAGGGCCTGGCCAACCCAACTCAGCCCCAAGGCAAGGCAGAGGCAGAACAGATACGAACCAGGAACTGAAAACCCTTCTCTCGGTACCTGAAAGAATCTTTGGAATTTCTATGCATACGAGTGGGAAGGGCAGGTGGGAGGAAGTCCTGGGTGACTGCCTCACAGCGTTCCATGGCTAATGGCAGGATCCCAGGCAGCCAGCTACCACCTTGTACTTGTCTGGTCCCAGCAGGGCAGTGTGGCTGGACTGCAGCAATGCATCCCCACAAAAGGTTGTGTGAAAGAGAGAAAAAGGCAGAATACTTGGAACACTCAAGGGTGCGTGCTGGTCAGGATTTTCCCCTTCTTTTAAGTGCAACCTTGAGTACAGTGTGCTCTCCCCCGAGTTAGTCCCTCACCTGCAGGAGGCAGCAAACGCCACCTCCCTCCGGGGGATGCGGTGAGGAGCAGCGCATAGGAAGTGAGACTGCGTTCTGGCCATCGGATCCGCACAGCAGCTCTCGTGACAGATAAGGAAGCAGAGGTGCAGCATTTGCCCAGCGACCACTCAGCCGGCAGCAGCCAAGGCAGAACGTGGGCCCAGGCAGACCCACCCAGGAGCCCTCAGCTGCAGTGTCCCACTACTGAGACCGAGCACAGTACCCGGCTCACTGGGGGTGGTCAACAAATGGTTATCCTTTTCCTCGGGGTTCTCTGAGCACAGGATTATGGATAGCAAAAACACATGTGACAGTTCTCTGAAACCACGAAGTCCAGGGAAAACACAAGTCATGAAAAAAAACCCACCTTTATTGAGACATAACTCACGTACAATGCACTCACTACATGTAGACTGCTGTGGTTTTTCCTATATAGAGTTGTACAAAAACCCCAACAATTCATTTTACAACATTTTCAAAAAGAAGCACTTCCTAGTTGAACCAGAATGTCCCTCTCTGCGACCCCCACCCCACGCAGGTCCTGGCTGCCACCCAACCATGGGTTGGCCTATTCCTACTCGGATGTTCCATTTGTGTGGGATCACAACACGCATGTCCCTTGGTGACTGGCTTTTTTTTTTTTTTTTTTTTTTTGACAGGCAGAGTGGACAGTGAGAGAGAGAGACAGAGAGAAAGGTCTTCCTTTGCCGTTGGTTCACCCTCCAATGGCCGCCACGGCCGGCGCGCTGCGGCCGGCGCACTGCACTGATCCGAAGCCAGGAGCCAGGTGCTTCTCCTAGTCTCCCATGCGGGTGCAGGGCCCAAGCACTTGGGCCATCCTACACTGCACTGCCGGGCCACAGCAGAGAGCTGGCCTGGAAGAGGGGCAACCGGGACAGAATCCGGCGCCCCGACCGGGACTAGAACCCGGGGTGCCGGCATCACAGGCGGAGGATTAGCCTAGTGAGCCGCGGCGCCGGCCGTGACTGGCTCTTTCCCACTTAGCACTGTGTCTTCAGGACTCATGCGTGTTGTAACATTCTTTGTTCCTGTTTATGGCCAAATATTATCCAACTGTGAGTCGCGTTGCTAGTAAACGTTCCTGGGTTCTTCATGCAGAGTTAGGTCTGGAAAGATCTTTGGAGAGACTGAACCCAAACACCTCATTTGACTGATGAGGAGAGGATGGTGGAGAGAGGTTGAGTAGTCTTCCCAAGGTCACCCAGCTAGTTGGGGGCATAGCACAGACCCCAACTTGGCCCCTTCCTCAGACCACAAAGCATCATCAGAAACATTCAAAATGCACGACTCACGACAAATCAGCAGAATCATCTCTACCAAAGTTAGCCTAACATCATTCGGTCCACATATTACACTGGCCATGCCCTGTGTGCTCCATCTGACAAACACGTAGTGACAGTCCCCGGTGCAAGGGGCCGGGACCCAGCAGGCGCAGCACAAGCAAGGTCCTGCCTTTCCTCTCCGACTGTGCATTCTACTGGGGAGGCAGAAATAAACAGGAAAATCTTTTTACTCAGTAAGACAATCTCACACTCAGTGCCAGGAAAGGAACAAACAAGGGGCTGGGAAAGAGAATGATGTAGGGACTGGGGTGGCACGGACAGGGGTGGTGGTGTGGGGGCGAAAGGACCCACTGCACGGAGAACTTGGGGAAGGCCTCTCTGAGGGGGAGAAGAGGAAGCAACCTGGTAACAGTCTAGACGAATCAGGTGCCAGACAGAAGGCACAGCATGTGCAAGGATGCTGGGGTGGGAACACAGTTACGGTACTGACAGTGTGGAACTGGTGGATGAGAGCGACCAAGTGCGCAGATGCTGGGATGTGAGGCTGGAAGGAACTGGGCTCAGATCCCAGCAGAGGTGCTTAGGCCCGCTGTGTCATGACCTCACCCACAGAGCTAACCAAAGAGAGGAGGACCCAGGGGAAAGCAGACAAGCGGCTTCCAGTTCCCTTCCTGCAAATTCAGTGAGGAAGCCCTGAGCTTGCATAGCAGAGACTTCCAAGGACAAGAGAACTGCGTCTTCAGTAATGAGGCTCTAGCTCTGGGTCTCCGTAGGGATGGATCAGAGAACAGGGAAGGGAGGAAACACAGGTGTACGAACAGGGATGTGGTGCAGCCAAAGAACAGAACACGCCTCACCCGGCGAGGGAAGGCAGTGCGCTCTTCAGCACGGACGCACGAAGAGCTGTGCTCAGTCGTCAAGGTGGAACTGCAGGACCATGAGGCAGTACATCAGCTTGTGTCAGGGCAAGCGACGGTGAGAGGCGGACATGTGCTTGGCCACGTAGGCATGTCTCAGCAGGGGTCGCCTGTTTCTGCCTCTCCCAGGGAGCAGGACTACGCCAGGGGCCAGGGTCTTGTCTGGGCTGCTTGTCAGTTCCATCAGTCGCACAGCCAGAAGATGGGCGACGTGGGAGGGGGCTTTTCACTGTCTCCTGACATACCGCTTCCATATTTGACACACGTAAGTGTATTTCCTACTCAAAGAAATTGAATAAAAAATGAAGATCAAAAAAAAAAAAAAAAAAAGGCCACGAAGGGGTCTGCATCTGACCACCAAAGCCTGACATTCCAGCCTTGCCCGCCCCTGGGCTTCTGGAGAAGCCCCTGTGTGCCTCTAGAAACCCGCTGGGCAATCACCGGTTTCCCAGAAGACTCCAGAAGTCATTCCCGTTCCCAAATTTGGGCCATCAAAGCTCCTCCCACCCTGGACAGGTGAACAGATGCATAATTATCACAAGGATACTGGACTCCCGTTATGTCTCCAGCACCAGCCGGGTCACCTTGAGGGATCCATCACTGCACATGGGCAGAGAGCGACTCAGGGCATCACGGACTCTGCCGGGGCTTCCTCCATCCGGGCACTGCAGATTCGGGGCTGAACTGTGCTCTGTTGAGGGGAGAGGGGCCTCCCTGTGTGTCCTACAATGCTTGCCTCCCTGACTTCCACCTGCCAGATGCCAGTAGCCCACGACCCCCAAAGCTGTGACAACCCCGGTACTGCTAAATGTCCCCCGTGGCAACACCCTGTGCCCAGCTGAGAACTGTGGTTCTCATCACTGCATTTCCGGCTCATGGCTTCATTCTCCCCTCTGCCTGTACCCTCGCTAGGTCGCCACGGAGGTTGCAGGTTGACTGAACTTAACTGTGGGGGACACCCTTGGGCTTCATACTTGGCAACCAATCCTGACATCCTGGGAAAAGAATTATCTTAGATAAAAAACCCAAACAACAATCGGTGGACAAGAGTCGCTCCCATGCCTGGAAGACCTGGCCGTAGCCAGGCAAACTGGCCTCCATGGCGGGTTGCTAACTACCAGCTGCCTACCCGACAATGCGCCAACGTGCTGGAGCGGTGGCACCCCGAGAAACAGAGGCCATTGCTTCCTGTGACTGTTTCCCTCCCGGGGACGGAGAGGAGAGAGAAGCCAGGCACCGTGGCACTGACGGGGGGTCATTCAGTGGCAAGCGGGGTGGACGGGGAGGCGAACAGGCGCCATGCCGTGTCTCTCCTCCTTACTTCTAGAATGTGTTTCCTCCCAGGGAGCTTGCTTTGGAGGGCAAAGAAAAAGGAACTGTATTTCTGTGTTTTGATTAATTAGAGGCTCATCCTTGAGGCCGCTGGAAGTGAATGAGCAGAATTTTCCACGGCCAACGGCCCCGCTGCCAGCCCCATCGGCGTGCGTACACTGAGTGCTGATTTACTCTCGCTCGTCTTGTTTCTCTTCCAGTTCAGCTGCAGCTGAGTGCGGAAAGCGTGGGGGAGGTGTATATAAAGAGTACGGAGACCGGCCAGTACTTGGCCATGGACACCGACGGCCTTTTATACGGCTCGGTAAGTATGAGGCTGACACGCTTCCAGACGCGGCCAAGGTTTGCGGTTTCCAGAAATCTTGTTACATTGAGTGATGCAGACTGTGAAGCATCAATTAGTCTCTGTTTGTTGTTTTTTCCAGTAGGATTCCCACCCTCTACCCTGCCTTATTTTAGATACAAACATTAGAAGGGTTTCTTGTGGTGTTCTCTGAAAATACTCGGCTGTATTATCACATAGGCACTGAGAAAACATTGATTGATGTTTGGGTAACTCGTCAGTTGCTCCGTTCAGAATCCCAAATCCCACTGCATTCATTCACTCCAAAAATGTTTGCTGAGCACTTACTACATGCTATCAGAGTATCTCAGTAATTTTTACCAAAAAAAATGCAGAGCCCAGAACCTAACAGTTTACGTGCCATGCATAAAACTTAAAAAAAAAAAACAACACTTTTCTTCTGGAAGGATCACCTCAAAGGATGAAAAAGCCCCAACAATTTAATAGAACATCTATCAAACTTCTTGCGTGTCTAGGAACTGGGGTAGGTCCTAAAAGAAGAATTTGCCGAGCTGAGAAGTGTGGTCTAATTGCTTATTCAGTAGCTAAATCCTCCACACCTCCCGCTTCTTCCCTCTCATATTTGATGCTTCACCGAGGTCTGAGCCCGTGGTCTTTCTGAGAAAAGCACACACTCAGAGGCAGTGAGTTTGCCCCTGTTGGTGTCTTTGCTCCAAGATTAACTGGAGACAGAGAGAGCGAGCGAGCGAGCAAGAACGCTGAGACCAATGCCTACAGGTTTGGAAATTATGTCTGGATTTAAGAAGGAATTGTTTTGTTTTTCATTTTATATATCTGAGAAGCAGAGAGAAGAGGGGGAGGGAGGCAGGGAGTCTTCATCTGCTGGCTCACTCCCCAGGTGTCTGCAGTAGCCAGTGTGGGTGGGGAGCCCCAGGTACCTGAGCAGTCACCTGCTGCCCCCCAGGGTGCACATGGGCAGGAAGCTGGACTAGGGAGCTGAGTCAGGACTCAGACCCAGGCACTGGGATATGGACGCAGGCATTGATCACTAGGTCCAATGCCCAGGCCCACCTGTCAGCGCTTTCTGTTGTCTAGCCCAGTAGCTGATAATTAAAGCTCTGACTATAATTCACAACCCAACTCAAACCTCCTTCTTCCCTTGTATGAAGATATCTACAAAAAGGTGGCCAGTCGGGGACATTTGTCTGGGGCTTCCTTTGACTTCTAACAAATCGCCAGGTATCGCAGGCCTGGCAAAGCTTCCCTTGGATGGGAGCTCACTTCACTCTTCTCACAATGCCCACTAGGGGTCGGGAGATGATGTCATCAGAGTAGCACGCGGCCTGAGCAAGAAGAAGGGGCTGGAGTAGAGGCACCGCCTGCTGCTCACGGCGCACATTTTCATAGGCTGTTGTTCTAACTGGTGTCAAAATCAATCAGTCATTCAATCTCAGACTTGAAATTGAACCCCATGCCTCTGCCACCTCTGCCAGTGACTGTGCATCCGTAGCCTTGTTTTCATCAAGCATGGTGATGGATGGCAACTTCACCATCAACATGCAGAGACCCCAAGACTGGCCGGCACCCCCAGGTGCTCCACCCACGGCAACTCTAGGATAGACAGTCGGCTTCCCACCACCTCACCCTCACTTTGTCTTAGGCTACTGGTTACAGGCCATGGCTTCTTCTAAATTGTGATGTTTATTACAACCTTTGTTTACCTAAATGAAAATACTGAGGGAGAATGCCTGAATCCAATATCCTCTGGGCTCCAGGACCTCCCTCTGCCACCCTGGCCCTGGCTGGCAGCAAACCTTACCTGAAATATGGTCTTACCATACCATGCCTAAGAAGTTTTAAATTTTCCTCCCTGATGAAGAGAATTTCAAAATACCTCAATGCTCTTAACAAACTTAAAGCATCAGTCCATCCTGATTCAAATTTGTGTCGAGGCGGGGGTAGACACATTTATTTAAAAAAACCAAAAGGCTACATACCACAATTTTACTGTATTTAAATGCATCATTTTATTCTATGTGAATGCCTTCCTGCATTTTCCAAATTTTCTGATGCATATATCTCATCCATGTAACTGGGGGAGAAGAAATCAGGCTAAATATAAAAGAGAAAACAACTAGAAGCAACAGGCATGAATTAACAGTTAATTCACAGCCCTCAGCACTGTACCAAGTGCATAGCACGGGCTGACGAAGCCTGGTGGAGGGCAGGAGCGCCTCTGATCTGTCCTGCTGACTCAACCTGTGACTCAGCCATTTCGTGCGTGTCAACAGCTCCAGTGTAATAGAGACATCAGGTGGAGAATGTGGCCGTCTCCACCTTCGTCACAGCACGAAGGCCTGACGCCCACGGAGGGGTGTCACGAGGTGAGCCCCCCTCCCCGGCCCCGACAGGGGAGTAGGCAACCCACACAGCTCCAAAACTGCCTCCCTCCCTCTACCCCAGCACCGCATGCCAAACACTGATGTCTGGACCAAGTTCCTCCAGGGACAGCAAAGCCATCCAATTAAATATTATATTTATATCCTGTCTTGTCCCAGAATGATCCAAAACGTCTCACCCAGTTGTCATTTCACCGGACGGCAAGTGACTAAGAAGCAGGATACTTCCTGTTACCTGGTTCTTTATGACGGAAAGCTAACTTCACAGATTACATGACAACACCTCCAGACTCCAATTACACACACTAACTAGCAGCCAAGCACCTGCTCATTCACTAACTAGCTAGCAAGACCTGTTATTTGCAAGGCTATGTGCCCGCCAGGCAGACCAAGGCTAACAGATTGCCCGCCTCTCCCAGCAGGCCTGATGGTCAGTGGCACAGCACGGCTATCAAGAGACGAAGGTATCCGACACAGATGGGAACCGCAGTGGTGCAGAGACCACAGAGGACATAAAACTTGGAAGGTGGCAAAGTCAGATGTGACAGTTCCTCTGGCAGGACAACATACGACATCGGGTTTCAACATTTCTGTTTCAATTTGGGCAAGAACATGGTTCAAAGACTGGGCTTTCCAACAGATGAATTACAAACAAACCAAATAGTGGTGGAAGATAGTTTTCAAATCACTATGCTGTTTGATTAATAGGCAGTGGCTAACTTGCCATCTTTTTTAAAAAGATTTATTTAAATATTTGAAAGACAGAGATGGAGAGAGAAAAGGGAGATTAGAGAGAGATCTTCCACCTGCTGATTCACTGCCCAAATGGCTGGGTGCTGAGCCAGGTTGAAGCCAGGAGCCAGGAGATTCTTCCAGGTTTCCCACATGGGCTCAGGGACCCAAGAACTTGGGTCATCTTCTGTTCATTCCCCAGGTGCATTAACAGGGAGCTGGATCAGAAGTGGAACAGCTGGGACTTGAACTGGTGCCCATATGGGAAGCTGACACTGCAGGTTGAGGCTTAGCCTTTTTATACCACAGCATGAGCCCCCCGTCTATCCATCTTAATACATTTAGAGCTGTTCAGGATTCCATTGTATGGATGTACCTTTATCCACTTAACCAATCACCTTTCCATAGACATACAGGTTGCTTCTGATTTGTAGGCATTATATACAATGTTTAAAAACCATCCTCAAAAAATATGGCTTTATATCATAAGGGTAAACTGCTAGAAATGAAGTTTTTGGGTAAGAGGCAATGTATACTTTAAATGTTTATATGTATCACCAAACTACCCTCAGAAAATTTCCACCAATTCATCTCATCAACAGTACACAAAACACTTCCCATACGCTCACCAACACTGAGATTTGTAAATATTTTGAGCTCTGCGTATATTATACCAAATATATATATTAACTTGCATTTTTATTGCCATTGGTATTGAATACGTTTTCATAGGTTGACTGGCCATTTTTACAACAGGAGATGAGATACACCGTTTTGAAGTCAGTCTATATCCATATGGCCTTATCCACTGGGTATGGACAAAAAGAAAGGCAGGCCAGGACACTCACCAGCTGTTAACGGTTGCCTATCTGGTGGTAGGTTATGAGATGCCTTCATTCTTTTTTATGTAAAGTCCTGATTTTATTTTTAGAAAGCACCAATTCTTTTTATAAGCAGAATCTTTTTAAAAAATATCTACTTATTTATTTGAAATTCAGAGTTACAGAGAGAGGGAGAGACACACAGCAATCTTCCATCTGCTGGTTCACTCCTCAGATGGCTGCAACGGTCAGGGCTAGGCCAGACCAAAACCAGGAGGATCCAGGAGCTCCATCCGGGTCTCCTGCATGGTTGGCAGGGGCCCAAGCACTTGGGCTGTCTTCTACTGCTTTCCCCAGGTTTTCAGCTGCGAACCGGATTGGAAACAGAGCAGCTGGGATGTGAACCAGGGCCCTTATAGCATGCCAGCATCCCAGACAGTGGCTTTACCCGCCAAGCCACAACACCAGCCCCAAATAGCATCATTTTATAAATAGCAAAAGATAAAGTTACTTCCTGTTTTTAAGAACTTATTTAAGTGGCAGGATATGTTTTGTGCCTAGCACAATTTTTGCACAAGCATTGACGCTCAAAATAACGAGATCAAATCCTGACATTGTTGGTGACATCAATGAAAAGGAGTACTGGTGGGATTTCATTTGTTCCTCAGACCTAAACTTGAGAAACCCCACCCCACCACACCACAGTCTGACTTTACCCATTCAGGTGTCTTTTTCCTTCTTCGTGCCTATGTGCCAGGGCGCTGTGGAGACAAGGAGTCCAGCCTTGCCCTCACCGTGCTCATAGCCAACGAGGGTCTCCCCAGTGGGAGATTCTGGAGTCCCTGGAACAGCGACGGAAGGGGAGCTTACAGAGGGAGCAAACAGGTGCTGCAGGCTCCTGCTGCGCTGGGCTGTGCCATGCCCTGAGACAGGTGCCGTCCCGAGGTCACACTGCAGGGAGATGGACAGAGCCTGCTCTAGATCCCTCACTTAGACTTCAACCGTCTTTCGGTTTTATCTCTGCAGCAAACGCCCAGTGAGGAGTGTTTGTTCCTGGAACGGCTGGAGGAGAACCACTACAACACCTACACGTCCAAGAAGCACGCCGAGAAGAACTGGTTCGTGGGGCTGAAGAAAAACGGGAGCTGCAAGCGCGGTCCTCGGACTCACTACGGCCAGAAAGCCATCTTGTTCCTCCCCCTGCCGGTCTCCTCCGACTAAAGACCTCTGTCCCGGGTGCTGCCCACTCCAGAGGAGCCTCGCGGGGTCCTCACCTGGTTGACCCCAAAATGTTCCCTTGACCTTTGGCTGCACTGACCCCAGCCCACAGAGCCCAAGTTTGTAAGCAACGCGCTTCTACGTGCCTGGTCCCCTTCTCGGCAGAGCCCTTTCCCCCAGCACGGTTTGGAACAGAGGGATCGAATAGCTTCTAGGGGGCCAAGTGGCTGGCCAGTCTGGGGTTGAGTTGGGATGGGCAGCTGGGTGCCCTGGGCACCTGCTGTGGGCAGAGGTGGGGCCAAGTGAAGGGGGTTAAGGTGCCCGCCAACTGGGTTATTACTAACACCTACCATTTCCCTCTGATAAGCCAGCCCTGTGAGGCTCCCAAACATCTGGCATGACCCCCAATATCTGGCATGACTCCCTTTCATCTTGTAGTACCCCAATAATATGAGCAGAGGAACTGAAGCCAGGTCAGAGAGAAGCAGTGTTCCACGAGTACACACAAGAACAGGGGGACTGGCACTGGAAGGGGGACAGTGCACCTTGGTGGGCAACTGAGAAAGATGGGATGTGGAGTAAATGACAGAGGGGAGGCTTGGCCACCGGCAGCCAGGACAAATCCCTGGCCTTGATCTTCCCAAGGTCATTCAGCAGCGGGAAGCCCCGAGGTGATGTCAGGTGGGAGCAGGACAGATTGTTCCGGATAAAAGCAAGGACATCAGATGTTGGGAAACTCAGCCAGTCTGGGAGCGCACGTGGGAGTGATGAGAAAGAAGGGAAATGCCGGCTGAGGGTTCGCTAGCCTCTAAAGAGGACGGCTTTGTAAGGGAGGAATAGGACAGAGAGGCCATGGGTTGTGCTCAGCCAGCAGGAAGCAGAGGCTCTGGGGTCCTGGTGCACGGCTGCTCCAGCACCCAGGAGCTGTCTCCTCCTTGGGAGCCCTGGCGGCATGCAGATGCTGACTCAGTGGGGCTGGGTAGGGTTGCTACGTTTCCACTGGGCTCCTGTGCTGGGGCTGCAGCCACCTCCCCCAACACACGTCAAGGAGCAGGGGTTGAAAGCATGGTATTCCGAGATGGCTCAAACCCCTGATCCTCTCCTCGCCCTTAAAATCACCCTCCCCACCACGAGTCTCCCTGGGCAGGCAGGAGGCACGGACGGAAGACGCAGATGTGCTAGGTTCAGTTTTAAGGCGCTTTGGCCCAGGGCCTGTGAAATGCCCATTCAGGAGACATACAAAAGGATGCTTCAAAAATGTTAAACCCTCACAAACAGCTTTCCCCAAGAGCCCATTTGTGTTACCATTACTTGTATAAATACGCTTCCTGCTTAAAGTAAACTTGACCCAAGTGGCTAGCAAATTAGAAACACCATTCATCTCTGACATACGATACTGAGGCCACGGAAAGGCCTTTAATAAGCCATTTACATTTACTGTGAGGCTCTGTTTTAATCACATTTTTAAATATATAGCTTGAAGGCAGTTACACTGATGAGCATTCAGCCACTGAGAATGATAATAATAGGATATGAAGCATAAGCTACTCAATTACCTAATGCTTAGACTCCATTTACCTATAAAATGAGATTTTTCTGCTTTGCACAGTGCTATCACAAGGTTTCCTTTGGAAATGGGTTCTCTTCAGCAATGATATGATAGCGGTGAACGAAAACTGATGAGAACGCTAGCTCATGTTTCACAAGGACCTGAAGCATCATGAATTGGAAAAGAATTCCTTAGTGACTAAACTGTCCTTTTGCAAATGGAAGGAAAAAGTGACACTCTGTGAGTACCACCGAGTAAGGGGACAACGTGCTCAAAGGCAGCGATCTGCATAGACAGCAAAATGCTCTCAGAACCTTTTGTTTCTGGAACTTGGAAGAGAGGATTCAATCTTGTTTTAGTACATCTTTGCAGGCAGGTTACGGATCATGCAGTGGGGCTTAACCTCTCTTAGGATGAAGATTTGGCCAGTAAATGGTGTGTGGGGAGGAGATCTAAGGCATTTACATTGGTCCATAGTTTTTATTGTAGGAATCAAATTCAAGGGTAACGTTGGCCAAGAAGAGTCACATACCTTCGCTAACCTATGACACAGCAGTCTGGGACTGCACAGACCCGAAGCACTGCGGTAGACATACTGTCGTGACCCGGAGGGTCTGAGCCGAGTCATGGTTTGTGTGTTTGCTCAGTGGCTGTCAATGCCTACTGCGTGCTGAGCGTTGCACTGGGTCCCAGGGTGCCCGAGGACTTTGTCTTCCTAGTTTGCTCTGGCACCCTCTTCCGGGGTATAAAGTGGATTCATTTCTTTAAGACAAGGAAAATCACAGACTTTGTAGGTTCTTGCTGAGTAAGCTGCAAGTCCTAGAGGCCCAGCATTTGCAAGAACGGGCCACCCCCAGTGTTAGATAAAGCCCTGTGTGAGTATTAGAGGACACGATGAGGTGAATCACATTTTCACCTTCAGAGCTGTGTCAAGTTCAGGGGCGCTGCTTGGGGATCAGGAGAAGAACCCAGCAGAATTCACTACCTGGAGCGGTGGGTAGGCCCCTGCTCGGTTCAGCACAGGACGTTAAGCCCCCTTCCTCAGCTTCCAAGTCTCGCAGCCAGCGGCCAGCCACGTGGCTCGCAGGAGAATGCGTGTTCAAGGCCCCTGTCACACAGCGCCAGGGCAGGCTTGGATAGTTTGCGATGCAGTGGCAGTGGAGGTGGTTGTGTGTTTCCATGGAAAGGACAGACACAAAAGCCTCTGATGGCCAATAGTGTGGACACCTGAGAACTGACTGGATGTCACTCCGTGCTGCGGGGCTGAGCCGACGTCCTCAGCTGTGCAGAGCGCAGTACCACAAGCAACCGAGCTCCCGGGCTGCAAAGCAGACCCCTGAGGAAGATGCTGCCCTTCCTCCCACCCCACTGTCTGTGTCACAGCCTGCACCTTACAAGCACTAATAAATGTTCCCTGAATCGTGGCATGGTCTCTGCATTGGGGGGCACCACGGTGCCTCCTCTTTCTCCCCCAGGTCTCCCCGGCATCCCGGAGCACTCACTGTGTGGCTTCCTACCTGTCCACTATGGCCAGTTGAGCCAGGCCGGTGGGGACATCTAAGGGAGAGGGTTCTCATTTTGTTTAGAAACCAAAGTCAGTACTGCGGGTGCTTGGCTGGGTTTTTCTTAGGGAAATGCAATCCGGGAAAGGTGCCCCAGACAGGCAGTGTCTGCTGTCCCTCCCGGTCTAAAGCACAGGAGACGACACTGCGATCATGGGCGGGCCAACCTGTGCTCCAGCAAAGATAGTGTGCCCACAAACAATACTGAAGCGCTTGTTCACAATTTTAGGTGAATATGGAAGAAGCACGTCTCTCCGGCTCACCAGGGCTAGTGGGGGCTGAAGATTTCCCCATCTGACTTCCTGAACAATCACACTGAGCAGTGTTGCGTTAAAGGAACCTTGGAATCTTATGACCCCCTCCTCCCCCTCGGTAGGAGGAAATACACTGATGCCTAGCACATCATAGCAGAATTAGATGCCTGCCCCCCCCCCTTACACACACACACTGTCACAGGTACACACACACATACATGCACCACCTATAAAAATGCTGGACAGTGTGTGGGCACTCTGCTAATTATATTACACAATCAATACTTATTTATTTATTTATTTATTTTATTTGAAAGACAGAGTTACAGAGAGAGGTAGAGACAGAGAAAGGTCTTCCATCTGCTGGTTCACTCCCAAGATGGCCACAACAGCCAGAGCTGCACCGATCCAAAGCCAGGAGCCAGGAGCTTCTTCCAGGTCTCCCACGTGGGTGCAAGGGCCCAACGACTTGGACCATTTTCTACTGTTTTCCCAGGCCACAGCAGAGAGCTGGATCAGAAGAGGAGCAGTCGGGACTAGAACCAGCACCTATATGGGATGCCGGTGCTTCAGGCCAGGGCGTTAACCCTCTGTGCCACAGTGCTGGCCCCTTAATGTTTCTTAAGTTGCCTCAGGCAGTGTTTTTCAATGTTTTGGAGCCTGGTCCACATTGAGAACTACAGTTTCCATTACAACCCAGCACATACACACCCTTACATGTGCACACAACTGAGGCCAAGAGTATTTCACAACACTCTGTGAGATACCCTTGGATGTTTCTGTTACACTCTACTAAAACATACATTGGAACTGGTCACAGCACTGGGGGGAGGGGGTCACAGCCACAGTTTGAAAACCAGTGCCTTAAAGCAACCGTTCTCCTTCCCAAGGATAGCGAGACCCGGTCAGGACCCCGTGTTCCGCCTGCAGCGTCTTTAGGGACGCAGTTTGCTCCTGAGTCACCGAGACCACGGGACATCCTGGAGCCCGGGAACCATCTGTTCTGAAGGCTCCGTGAATTCTCTCAGCCGGATTTGCCACTGATTGTGCAAAACACACGAACCGCTGCGGATTCCACAGCGCCCACCTCTGCCTCCAATGCCGGCCTCAGCAGATTTCCGCTCTCGGAAGCCAGGGAAGCTCGGACGCCTCCCCCTTCCTTTGAAATTCCCTTGTCTCTAGGTCTTAGGTCATTCCCTCCGCAACTCCCACGGTGTTCCCTTCAGCCAGTCTCTGCCCACCTCCCCGGATTCCTATTTCACAGTCACCTCTAAGAAAGACACACAAGTTGGGTGCGCCAGGAAGATGCCTCTGAGCGTCCTCCTCAGCCTCCCTCACTCTCTGGAAGCAGCTGTCTCACCTCCTATCTCCCTTTGAGAACAGCGGACCACCAGGGCCTCAGCTCATACAGGGAGTTAAATTTCCCGTCTCTGCTGAACCAACGCAAACAACTAACTGCATGCCACGTGTCAGAGGGGGTGGAGCAGCTGACAGTGGGCCTTTCGCGGGTGAACTTGACCAAGAAGAGGAAACTCTGGAGGACTTGGTCCCTTTTCATATCTATCTGAGTGATGTCAGTCTGTCACGGGTGGGCACGGGAGGGAAATCCCAACTTCTCAGCTCCCGAGGGTTGTTTTTATTAGCCAGCAGGGGAACAGCGGGACACCAGACAAAAAACCACCCTTTCACAAATCAGCACCAACTATTTTTAAGCAGCAGTAGTGACAGCGGAGGAGTAGTTGTGCCCAACAGAGCAGTGGGACTTAACCAAGCACGCTCCTCATTTCAAAGTCATGGGGACTGATCCGTGCGATGATTGTTAAAACAGAAATAATGGCACCCTCTCCTTCCAGCTCCATTCCCACAACAGATCCTCCCCCCGACCCAGAGAAACTTCTGCCAGAGTACACAGATTTCACTCTAAAACCCACCAGAGAACTGACGCTTGGGGATCTGATGTCAGGTGCGCCAGGCTTCTGTGATTCCAGAACGTTCTCTCAGGTTACGAGGGAAACACACTAAACGATGACTGGACTCCTTCTGCAACACGGGGCCCACTTAGGGTTGACAGATCGGCCATGACACGCTATACTGTTAGCTTTCCACCCCAGTTACAAAATTGAAAAGAGAAACCAGGTCAGGCACAGCCGAAAGCCAGAGAGAGGGTTTGCTTTATAAAAACGCATGAACTGGAGGACCCAGCTGTGGGGTCTTCTGATGGGACTAAGAATGTTTGTGCCGTAGAGAGGAGGTATTTCCCAAGGTGCCTCCTTCCTTTTTGCCTCCCCGTTGTCACACGGACTGAAGTTACACGTTCAACAGCGAAACGTCAGTGGCGATTTTAGCACAGAGACAAGCAGACCCTCACCATGGCCTTGAGATGCCGCATGAGGAGCTGAGCACTCCCTGTTCAGAACTGTGCTGGCCTGGAGGTTCCGGGTTACCTGGCCAGAACGTTTAGGGACCTGCGTGTAGAGAGGCAGTATGTGCAAAGCGTCACAGAAACACTTCACTGCGACTGTCACACGTCATGGTTTCCTGTCTTAGGAAACAATTTCTTCTCGTCTGACCCAGAGACACTTAAGAACGAGACGCTAGATTATCCTGCTGATGTGTCTGAGCCAAAACACATCATTCTCCAAAATAAGTTACCGGAACATTGCTGTACACTGACTTGTTTTGTGTGGATTGGATAAACAGGACGGTGCGCAGCTTGGGAATACCAACCGTGTCAGGAGCGCAGGAACTTCCTGGGGAAGTGCACAGTCAAGTCTTCGGCATGCTCAGAATGGAACACTTGCGCTAGGAACAGTGCTGCCGACCTGGGAAGTGGCACGGGGCGTGGACCTGGCCAGGTCATTTCTGATAACACGGGGCAAATGTGCAAGCCGGGGCTGACCGTGCAGAGAAGGTAAATGAGAGGACAACGGTTCTGGATCCTGGTTTCCAGGCATGTGTGAGAGCACATTGGAGGCAGGTCAAGAAGGGTGATGGGATTTCAAGAGAACTCAGAAATGTACAGCCCCTAAGCATCTTGAACATCTGGGCCGAGTCAGACAGGGCAGGGGGCTAACCAGTCCACGGCAGTCCTCGGGAACAAACCGCTGCACCAGTTGAAAATGAAGCCTCTCTCCTGAGCTCCCTCCCTCCTCGGCCGTTTACTGTCAACCATTATATCAGTCAGGGTCCAGGCAAGACAGGGAAACCACACCAATAATTTGAGTAGGGAATTTTTTGAATGAAGGCTTATTTACTTATTTGTAAGGCAGAACAACAGGGAGGAAGCAATAGAGTGAGGAGAGAGAGTGACCTTCCATCCTGGTTCACTCCCCAAATGGTCACAACAGCTGACGGGCTGGGCTGAAGCCAGGAGTCAGCAACTCCATCCTGTCTCCCACAGGGGTGGCAGGAAGCTAAGTACTTCCTCTGCCTTCCCAAGCTTGTTAACAGGATGCCAGATGGGAAGCGGAGTAGCAGGGACTCCAACCAGGGCTCTGACGCAGGACATGAGCATCACAGGAAATAGGTTAAACCCCCTGCCCCTCAGTGCCAGCCCCTGAGCAGGCAAATTATCATGCAAAGAATGATTAACGATTAGTAGCAGAGCTAACTACCAGCAGACAGAGAGGCGGGGACTATCTCCCGGGCTGAGGACAGTATTCCAGGAAGGGGCAAATTTGGAACAGGTGCCCACTTGAGGATGCGAGTGGGACTTTTTTGCAGAAGATGTAGCTGTGGCTCACAGCACACCGAAGCATTCACAGAGCTGCTGCAGGAGGCGGCCGGTGCACAGTGCAACCTTGCAACTGTGCCAGCTGCTCACAAAGAGGTTTCCAGTATCCTCAGACCATGTGAGAAGGAGATTTAACTTACTCAGGAGTTTCTGGAGGACGTATGCTGACATCTGACAGAAGAGGGAGGAGCTGACGACGTGCAGAGGTGGGGCCTCTGAAGAACATTCCAGATGGAGGCAGCAGCATGTGTCAGGGTCCTGTGGCAGAAAAGAGCATGGTATCAGTGGGGTCAAGTGTGGAGAGCAGTGACGTGGGGAGAGTCATGCTGTGAACAGAGACCGGCCAAGGAGACAGAGGCCAGCGACAGAAGAGAGAAGCTGGGTGGGCTCCATTGCAGCACCTACAGATACGGGTATCAAGGGGAAGCTGAGCACACATCATCATTCTCTCTGCCCGCACAGCTGAGCTGTAACACGGTTTCTGACCCTGTGCCAAAGGACACAAAGAATCAGAATCAGCAGGCAAAGTTTCTGGCCTGAGTTCCAATCCGTGACTCTGTGGAAGGTATTCCAGACTGGACACTTCAGGGGCTGAGGTTCTGTTGCTTAATGTTTATCTTTCGCAGAGGCTTTTATTCATTCCATCCAGCAGAGGGAGTCCAGGAAAATGCTTTTAGTTCCCTGTAAATTCCCTAAGACCCTCCAGGAAAAGCCAGGTTCGCCAGCACAGTTAAGAGAACAGGGAAGCAGTGATTACGTCTGCGAACCTCATTTCTATTGAAAACACGAAGTAATTAGCTTCTCAGTGCTGCGCTCCCAGAGATCCTGACTTTGCCGTTCTGTCCAAGGTTGGGCAGCTATGCTATTAATCCGTC